TGAACAAATTGATCAAATATGTACCATAGGGATAATTTGATTTGAATAGTGTATTAAAGAAAAATTAAACAAAAAGTAAAAGAAAAAAATAGTCAATAGAATGTTTACTACTTTACTGACAGCTTTTCTAAGATACATCTAGTATGTATCTTATATACTATATATCTAATATACAGTTTCCGGTAGGTACCCATTACTTTGACAAATTTGCTGACAAAGCTGAAGATTGTGATATGCTCCAGACTACTCTAGACTAAACATAGTTTAATACTTCCTTGAGCGAAACAGGGTGAAAGCTGTCACTGAATTACAAAGTAGATGCCTGTGTTACAAAGGGCAGGAGAACATTCTTCCTGTAGCATGGTGTTCTAGGAAATACCAAAAAAAAAAAATTAAAAAAGGATATGCCACATACTACATCAAATAACCAGGAATACTAAGAATTTAGGGATTGAACCTTCCCCAAGCATTGCTTTTATTACAGTTTTATGTGTTTGTTTTATTTAAGTGTATCTACATTACATTCACATGTCAACTCAGCAAGTTTACTGTCATTGAAATAATGTTCAACAGGATTGAGTTAACAGCTTCAAAATGTGTAACAGCAAACTACCAAGCAGGCAATGATAATAATAGTATGTGTCACACACTGTACTCAGTGTTTAAGCACATGATTTCAATTAATTTTTACAACCCTATAAAGTAGGTACTTTCATATTTTATAAGATTCCAAGTCTCAACAAAGTTTAGAATCTCATTTAAGCTTACATAATGTAGCTGGTGATCTCAAGCAGGAGGCAAAAGCAATGACCCACAGTCACTAAAATAAACCCTGAATGATGTGGCCTGATTGTGACAATATAGGCAGCATCAGCTATTTCAAGATTAGTTATAATAATATGTGGCAACATTTGAGAACCCATGATGTATGTTCAAAGATATAAGTGCCCGGTATGTCAAAGATATAAGAAGCAATGTTAGGGGGAAAAATTGTAATTTGTAGTCTAAGTTTCTAGCTTTTCAAGAAACTTAGATATTTGTGATTATCTCATCTCTCTCATGTTTTTATCTTTCCTTCTCAGCTAGATCATTTCCATCTTCTTTTGCATAAGAGCAAGTCTTTCTGTTTTAGAAAACAGTTTCCTCCCAACAACCATCATATTCTTAATGTTTATTGTAAAATTTCTGAAAAGAGGTGAGTGTATTGTTGGGCTCAACTTTTACGTACCCATTACTTCTCAATCCCATGTGGAGATGGGCTGTCAGATATCCTTCATGGAAGGATATGTTGTCCAGAGGAGGTGAGAGTGTCTGCAGATCCTCTCCAATTCTCTGCTCCTTTGGAGTCAGCTTGCACAAGGTTATGCCCCTTCTGGCATGGTTCACAATGGTGGGAATAAAAAGCTAGCCACCTTAACTTGAAGGGTGATAACTGAAGAGTATCATTTACTTCTTAGGATCTTGCCTAGTTGGCTGAAGATGGTTAGTGGTAAAGCACTAAATTCATAGTAGAGTTGATTAAAAATAGATTGAAAACTTTTTTCCCCATTGATTGAGTCAGTGGATCTGAAGAAGATGCATACTGTTCAGCTATAGTATGTTCACTTGAGATCCTCTGGAAAGCAGTCACCAACATGGAATGAAAACTCAATTTTTTTTTTGGGGGGGGGAGAATATATATGTAAGAGGAAAGGGGAGAAGACCATCAGAGAGCAATGCAAATTTGATCCCTCACAGGCGTGAGGGGGATCATTGGGTAGAAGCACCCCTGATGCTATGCAGGGTAAGGAAAGTTTATTCAGGCTATCAGGGTAGCTTCAAACTAATGTTAACCACATAAAGGATTCTACATTTTTCAGGAACAGACCTGCCATGTTCAATCATTGATGAGGAACAGTTTGTTGAGAGTCTGGCATTGGCACAAATGTGGTGATGGATTTCAGTCTGAAGTTGGGGTCTTTGGTCAAGTAATCTCCACATATTATGAGTCAGACTGTAAAATGTGCCCTACCATTTTAGGACAATGGAATGATAAAAGATAGAAATGAATTGGAAAGAGATATTTGGGTTCAAGGCAAGATTTCATGTTTGGTATTTGAATGGGAAAAACTTAAATATGTTTCTAAGTCTAGAAGATGGAATCTGCAAGATGGGAGAAGTTCGAAATAAAGAAGAGGGAAAGAATTGAGGAAAGGAGGGTGGGAAAGAAGAGTGTGAGGGATGAAAGAGGGAGGAAGAGGGGGAAAAGAGATTGGGGAAATAGAATAATTGTAACAGAATGACAATGCAGTTTTAATCTGAGGAATGTTGAATATGAGGAATGACACTACATTCTCTGAAATAGCATCTTGAAATGGGTTATGGTTGAATGTTGGGGGAAGTGAAGGGAATTGAACTTGTTTATCTCAAGATCCACTAAAAAACAGGAAATGAAATATTAGGGTCAGGGGTAGAGGGTTTGGTTTTGAACAGAAGGTATGCTAGCCTCTGAGGTTGAAACAAAAAGATGGGAATCAGAGGAAGACTTTTGTAGAAGTGGGATTGAGTTACAGAAGAGAATGGCAGATGTCTTCATTTTTTTTTTTTTTTTGATGAAGTAGGAGGCAAAATTATCTGCTGGTGGTATTATTTATTTGTCAATCTTCTCACATGATAAAATTTCACACAAAAACTATAACAGAAATAATATTTGGTATAATAAAGTCAACACTTCAAATATATCTTTTATATTGAGGTGATTATTACATAAATCTTTCATAATATGTGTTTATTTCTTGGTGTATAAACCAAATTTAAAAGTTTCTTGATCTCATTTGGAATTTAAAACCTGACATTGGGGCCCTCCCTGGTGGCATAACAGGTTAAAACACACCACTGTGAGGCTATTCCCAACCACTGCAGCCCAAGTTTGATTTCAAGCCAGGAGCTGACCCACATGGCATAGCCGACCTCTGTCCCACCCACTGCTCCCCTCAACAGTGTATTTCAGTGGATCTGCCTGCTCTGCTCCCCACTCTGTCTCTGGTGAATCCTCTCAGCTACCCTACACTTTTGGCCTGTACCCCAGTTCTTGTGTGCATAAAAAATTAATTTAAAAAAAATCCTGACATTGCATTGAATTTATGCCATTCTTTTTTTTTAAAGATTTATTTTATTTATGCATACAGAACTGGGGTACAGGCCAAAGGTGTGGGGGAGCTGAGAGGACTCACAGAGACAGAGTGGGGAGCAGGGAGTGGGTCAGGAGAAGTCTGCCACACCATGTGGGCCACCTGCCCCCTTGGGGATCAAACTCATGCTGCAGTGGCTGTGGTAGCTTCATAGAGTTGTGCATTAACCTGTTGTGCCACCAGAGAGGGCCCAAATCTATGCCATTCTTAATAAAGAAAAATGTTGCTGGAAATATACTGTCAGGGTACTATGTGTATTTGCTACCAAATTAACAACAACAAAAAATACTTTTGGACATTGTAATTTTATGTAAAATTAAAATAAGTCCATCACATAAGGATTTACCACTTATCCTATCAGAAAATAAACCTCAAGTATTTCATAATTGAAGGGATCTTTGAGATCAGTAGCTTCTAATGTGGGGAGCTCATACTCCAAGAATCTATTGAGCAACAGTAGTTGATGATGTGTATTTAAATTTCACTGCACCTACTTATTTGAAATTCCACTTTACCCCTATGAAGGTTTTTGGGTTCCTTATTTTAATTCAGTGGCACACACTTCAGAAGCTCCAGAAGTTTTTGCAATTTTAAAACATAGACAATGCATCAATCATTACTTAATCAAGTAATTTAAAAGTTTCTGAAACATGAGATTGGTTTGGGCAGGTAGGTTGGCAGTGAAAAGTTGGGACAAATTGACTTAATCCGATCTTGTAATTTATATGTGAGCAGACTGGGAGGGTGAAAAAATTATCTAAATATCACAAAATGGATTAATTAATAGCAGAGTTAGCTTTAGAATTTGCTCATTTTTTACTTTAGAATACCTACTTTGCTATTTTTTCCAGGTGTTAAGGTTTTGTATTTTGTTTCATAGTGGTTAGTGATCTGAACATTTAGAACACAATGCTTCCAATTTTAATTTTGGATTGTGTTGGGAATGAGTAAATATCAAGAGGGAACCCCCTAGTCTGTACACTAGAGCTTATTGATTTGTATTCCTTGGACTAGTCAACTTCCAGCAAAGTAGTTAAAAAAATGTTTTTTAATGACAATTGGAAACAAACTCAAAACATGTTTAAAAGTTTTCATAGTGAAGATGTGTCATAAAAAGCTAATTCTCAAGTACAATCTTCATTATTTTAAGGTACACCTAACCCCTGAGTACTCTGTACTTCAACTAGAGCACAGAGTCAAATGATTATGAATGAATCTGCAAAAGGAAAATATTTTAGACCTTTCTGCAATTTTTAATCTCATTGCATACTAAATACACACATTCTTTATCAAGTAATTAACACATTCACAATGAACAAATAGGGACAGACTTTATATAAAAATTCTGTTATCATTATATTTTTCAAAAACATTTAAGCCATCATTAGAGAGAAATTGTCCTGCCATTTTAAAGACAGAAAATTTGAGTAGAAGCTTAATAAAAGATGCTATGATAAGGAGGAGGAAACTGTTTTAAAGTTCCCTTTCTCATACTTTATATTTCTTCCTTACATTTCTTTAGACAACACAATCATTTGTGCTTGATTTTATTTATTTATTTTTTAAGATTTATTTATCTATACATACAAGAACTGGGGTACAGGCCAGAGTTGCAGGTGGGAGGTGAGGGGATTCACCAGATAGATTGGGGAACCAAGAGATTGACTGAAATACACTGCTGAGGGGAGCAGTAGGTAGGTCAGGTGAGGTCTGCCGCGCCATAGGGGTCGGCTCCCTGGCCAGGATTGAACTCATGCTGCAGTGGCTGTGTATAGCTTCATAGTGCTGTGCTTTAACCCGTTACACCACCAGGGAGGTCCCAATTTTATTTTATTTTTTTTTAAGGAGAAGTTGTCTGTCCTTTGATGGTCTAAAAGAAGCTCCTTTATAGTTGTAATTGAAGCAAATATGGGATATCTATATTTCATTGGTACTGTCTGAGATATTGAATAAGCAGAGACCATTTTCTAAAACCAAAATTTCAAAACTTTATAATCAACATTTACAGCATATAGTGATGAGTAGTTCTGTGAACCCAGAACTACTTAATAGCATATCATTTGAAACCTAGATTTCATATTGGTATTAAGTGAACATAGTAAAATAACCAAAGTGGAGCATTAGTCATTGTCATAGATGCAGCCTGAAAGAAACAGAAATACAAATTTAAAAGTACTTATACAAACAGATAGTCTATAAGTGTTACAACCTGGAACTTATGAAAAACTAATTAAATGGAAGATTACATATATATCAAACTTTCATACAAGCCTAGTAAAGTTTCTGGACAGATTTAGCCTCTATCAAAATGAGACTCAGGCTTATTATTTTTGTAATATAGCAATTAAGTATAGTTTTTGATACTCATTCTAAATGAAATTGAATATATTAAATATCACTAAGATTGGTGAATTTAAAAAGAGATATGATTAACCGTATGGTTCATTTTAGGTAAGTTTAATTTTTTAAATCACAACATAAGATTTTTGATGCGTAGAGAATATAAACGAATATTATAACTTTAAGTGCCTATTTTTTTGGCCAAGTGCACATATATTTAGTGCATTTGTCATAGAGTTCTATGGCAAGATTCAAAGTATAATGAAAAAAAAATCACCAAAATATTACCATACTTCAGTTTTCAAAAACAATAAATTAGGGATTCTTTCTTGATATTTAGTTATGAGCAAAAATATTTATTTCTTCACTCTATGAGGGCATTTAGGTTTCCCAATATTTCTAAGCAATTCAAATTCTGACCATATAAGAAGGCTCTAATATCTAAGAACAGTGAATTCATTATTACTGTTACTTGTTATGACTGATTTATAAGACTTTTTTTCCTTTTTGGGAGGTATGCCTGTTCACATTTTATTTTATCTTTCAAGGTATAAGACCTGGGTAATGTGAGACTTACCATCAGCAATATCATCATAGATTTCTCCATCACTGAAAATGAGAAATGATTTATATTTTAAAGAATGTTTTCTTGCCATGAAAACAAATGTTTAAATCAAAAGGTTAGTAATATGATGATATATGACACAAGGCAATAAAGGATGAAATGTTGCAAGTTATACATTTGACGTGGAAAGAAATTTCATTTTTGTCTTTAACTTCTTCATTGGCTTAATTTATTCCTCTCATTCATTCAAGAAAAGCCCATAACTTACTGCATATCATAGACAGCTAGAAAAAGGGGACCCAGCTTCAAGAATACACAGTGCCAAATCTCTCTCTTCAGACGAAATATGGGCCTAACATGAGCCCATACTAGATGTGCTAACTTTGTTAGATGTGCTTGTTGAGCTGAATAAAGTGAACAATCCTGGAGCAATACCCACTGGGGATCTTAATCCAACACCCTAACACATTCTTATATTTGTCAATATCATATTTATCTTTTCAGTTGAACTTTAAATGTCAAAGGCTACACAATAATATTTGGCATAGAAAATAGAGCTCCACTTTCCACATATTTCTAATAATTTATAAATCTAATTATAAAACATAAAAACACAAAATATGTACCTAAGGTACATTTTGCAGAGTGATTTTTAGGTTATTTAATTCTCAAAACATTTATGGTTATAGGCAACCTCACTAATAGCCCTGGATGCTTTTATACACTGTAGGCTTTACCTGGCCCTGAATCTCTGTGAAATTTGCTATTTGACACACATAGTGATCTTTCCTACATACCAGGACATATAAACACAAATAAGAAAAAGTAATTATGTCGAGTAGTTTATATAATCTAATAGAGAAGCAAATAATGTACAAGTAATTAAAATAGAAAGTGTTGAAGACATTAGCATAGCCTTGAAACATAGGACACAGATTCAAAGCTCAGAAGTGAAAAGTGCCTTAGTTACTGATTCCAGACCTGCTTTTGGTTCTTGTAGCATCTATGTTTTTCTATCCTGGCAGCAACAGGCCCTTTAAATTGTTGCCAACTATGGCAGATGCTGTGAGTTCCCTATGTCTTCTGTTGGGTATGTTCTATGAGGCTGAGGGAGGGTTTGGCAACAGAATCTAATACAAATGCAAAGAAGACACATTTTCCTATCATTCAACAAGTGAACATTTATTAATTATTCACTTCAAAAGCTGGTAAACCAATAATTACTTATTTAATTTTTTTTCTTTTTATCCCCAAATAATCATTGATCTTACCCTCCTTGATTTCTTTGTTGTTGTTGTTAAACTGCGATCTGTAACTCTCTGTGCTACTGTATGACCTTAACCTGATTAGAGAATTCATTTCTTGTACTGGTTTACTAGGCAGAATTTTGTTACATTCTGGGGACTCTAATGGCATACTAGTACTGGCCAGTGAAACCTTTTCAATTCACAAGAATACAAGGATCATTGACTGCTATTTTTTCAGGGGAGTGGGAGGAGGCATGCTTCAACATGGAATAAAGCAACCTAATAGTTTACTGTGACTGATGTGAGTAAAGAAAAGCCATCAGTTAGGGGTCAAACTAGTAACTGGTTACAGATGATGGGAGTACCCCTCTGTAGACACTAAATGGTCTCTGATTAATTCAGTCTAACCTCTGCAGTAATCAGCAAGTGAAAAAAGGACATTAATGAAAGTGTTAGTAGCTTTGATCTGTCTGCCTCCAATGTTAGTATCTGTCTCCAAATAAAATTTGAAATTGAGAACAATATAATCATAAATGAAAAAGCTTTTCATCTATTTGAAAGTGAGACTGTGAAAACCCTTAATTTTATTATGTGTTGTGTCACATTGATATAGGATAGGTATGTCACATTGATATAGGATAGGTATTGTTTTGAAATTTATGATAGTTCAGTTGATTATTTTGTTTAAATCAGAATTAGTAATCCTTCTTAAATAAAATCTTAGAATTAGTTTTATGAATATAATAGAAGAAAAAAAACTTACTTGTCTACTAAGTGACTTCGAAGGACATAGCCATCTATGAAAGTAAAAGGAAATAAACTGTATTAATTTTACAGATTTGAAAAACTGATATTATCTTAACAAATGGAAATATAATTAAATAAGAAAATATATTGAATAATTGCATTTATCTACAAATATGACCTACTTTTCTTATGTGTTTTTCCAAGTGTCTTTCCTTATTTTCTTCATTTCTGATCTTTAAAATTTTCTTTTCCTTTCAATTTACAACAATTTTTCTTCTGTTTTTGAATTAAAAACTTTTTCTTATTATACCAAGTTTTTCCAACTTTAATCTACTTTTTCAAGGTGGTAGCCCATATCCCACTTTTAGGAAGAATTTATTAAGCACCGTTTCTCTGATTACAAAATTGTTTTGGATAAGATATTTAAAATGCCAATAAATCTAAGACTTAACCTTGCAAATTTTATTATGTTTAGCAAAGTCACAACTTGTTCAACCTTCCATCCAGATGACAGTAATCAACCTAGTGCTACCCAGGGGAGCATACATTCCCAGTGATCTCATAATAGCTCTTATACTTACATGAAAGATTTCCCACTACTGCTTTTGCCATTATACAGTGTTAAGCTTTTCATTTTAAAATCACTATAGAAAACACATACAAGGGATTTTACTGGTTTCCTGATTAAGTAGAAAATAGATAATATTTTATGCAATGATTTTCTTTTTGAGCATCTAAAATTTGTCCATTATTGTGGAAAAATGTCCTAGAATGAATATGGACTACTTCTCTTGAGAAAAATGTCTGCTGATGTCTAATTAATAGTAACTTTAGAATTATTAGTTTTATGTTAGCATTTAAACTCTGTTGTATGTTTGAGATTAGTTTTTTTTTTTTTCTGTGTCAGTAATGCCTCTAGGTCATATCTCTCACTGAGTCAACTTGTTAGTCTCAGTTACTTTAGATCTAGTTTTAGCTCTAAATAAAAGTAAATGTGTAAAAATTTATAAACCAGGTAGCTCATAAGTAAAGATTAGTAAAATGATCATGAATTTACTCAGACTTGTTGATGTCATATTACTATTTATTTAATATAGAATTTTTGTAAGTTAAGATCATACAACTGAAATGATCAGATTAAAATTTAATTTAACTTTCCCTTAAAATATTCCAAGGCAAAAAACTCCACCTGACTATATCAAGAAATGTATTTATTTTTAATGAAATCTGCTTATAAAATCATATTTAGAAAGGAATCAAAGTTATATTTGAATTTCTCTGTTATGGAAATGACACATATGGAAAATGATCAAAACACTGTAGTACTACTTTTACTCAGAGCATGGAAAAAATCAAAGCCATTCTGACCAATATAAGGACATTTAAAGTTAATTTCTGTGATGCTTGATATCACAGTTCTTCTGTTCATGGAAAAAGACCTTTAAAAAAAAATAATGTATATCATAATTTAATGATAATTTTCAAAGGAGGATAAGCATATCTCTAACAAACTCACTATATGTATATCTTGAGAGAAAATTTGTGTAGACAAAAAGCTTTTATAATAAATTGTCATGGTTCCAATATTAGAAGCTGTATTTTCCTACACTTATACCTGGAGCTAAAATGTGAACAAGTCTTTGCAGATCTTTTCCCTTGATTTTTTTAAAAAAAGATTTATTTATTTATGCATACAAGAACTGGGTTACAGGCCAGAGGTACAGTTGGTGAGAAAATTCATCAGAGACAGAGTGGGGAGCAGGACAAACAGAATGACTGAAATACACTGGTGAGGCGAGCAGTGGGCAAGACAGGAGAGGTCTGCCATGACATGTGGAGCATCTCCTGGCTGGAGATCGAACTTGTGCTGCAGTGGCTGCCAATAGCTCGATAGTGCCCTAGGGAGGGCCCTTTTTTCAAAAGTTTTTTTTTCTGTAGTTAAAATTGGTGGTTTTGGTTTCATTTTGAATTTTCTCCTAAAATAAACTGGAAAATAAAACAATGCAATACTGTGTGTTCCTCTGATATGGTCAAGTTTATATTAATAATTATAACATAATGACTTAATAAGAACTGAACATTTTAACAATGAAGTAAATCTCAAGGTCTCTAAATTAAAATTAGAAAAGAATGAGCAAAATTGTAAAATGTTACCAGACTTGAATTATTCTAATATCACACATATTTATATTAAAAAAATCTCTAGATGGTTAAGAGAATATAGTCAAAATAAAGAGAACATAATCACAATTTTTAGAAATTAAAGATTTTTATTTTCCTGTGCTTTTAGGTAATCTACTTTTAAAAACTCAATTATGCTAAAATTATGTTGCTCTAGATAAACCCTTGCCTAAAATTAACACTAAAACACTTCACAAGGCCAAGGTTAATACCTCATAATATACAGCTTAATTAACTAAAATCCACAAATTGTAGAAAACAATATTCAAAGCTTTAGTACGTTTCCTTTTATCTATTGCCTATTCAAGATCTCTAAATACAAGCTGCTTCTTCCTGAGCACTCTGTTGTTTTATTTGTAAGAGACTAAAACATCAATGGTTTTGAACGTTATTTAAGGAAATATATCGAGATGAAGTGTACAATGGTGATGCACTGCTCTATTTTAGCTTCCTGAAATGATATGATAATTTGGGGCTCGTTACCTATAAAATTATTATTATATGGCATTTTTCAAAGGTTTGAGACTTTCAATAGAGCATAGGTTTTGCTGTCTAGTACCTTTAAAAAGCTCTGCTAAAACTTCATTCTATTAAAAGTATGATTCATGGTGATGTCAAAACAAATGACTTACCATGAATTTTTATATAATCTCTCCATGATAGTTCCTAGAAAAAAATTTTTTTTTTGCAGTAGAAACATACTCTCTTTGCTCATATGTTCTATGTGTATCCAACATAGGGTATGTTAATGAAGCCAACAAATAAATGAAATAAACAGAAAGACTGCTCGTGAGTCTGTGCCATGTAGAGCACTTACTAGGCTTAGTTAACCCTAGTAGACTGCGGATACTGTTATGCAAGGGAGTCTCACAAATAACATGGAATTATTACTTGGAAAGGTCACATTCATAGAGCAGAACACAGTGGCTTGAAACAAATGTTTTTAAATATGTGGTGGGATAGAGCCAGTTAGGAATGGAACACCCACCCCCCATATGTGCAAGCTGATTTGTTCCCAAAATGTCTGCCTGTTGCAGTGCAGATGTATCCTGGACTAATGACTCACCTTTCAGAATGGTGTTGTGTACAAAAGTTACCATGGAAATGCAAAATCATCTTTAGAAATGTAGAAGATACCTTTTTGGCAATGTTTTCTAATTTTTACTTAGTAAAAATGACAACTTTTTAAAACTTTCTTATTATTTCAGTGGTTGTAAGCATGTCCAGAAATAAAGTTGAATGTACTCAATTGGGTCTCATACAATTTAAAAAATCATATTTCATAGATTTACCCAGGCAAGTGGAATGATGTCCAACTTTATGGGAAGATTCATAATATGAAACAAAGAAAAAAATTTTATATATATATATATATACACACACACATCAAATATAAATTATAATGCTAGTTTAATGTAAATGTTCTTTCTCCCTCTCCTTATACATATTTTTAGGCTGTAAGCCAAGCATTTTACATTTCAGAATTTAAAAAATCCTCAATTGAGCATCTGTTTGTTTTAAAATTGAAAAGAAAATTACTTAAGCAAAGAAATAATCAATTGGGTTTGGGAAAATCCAAAGACCCTTTACAATCCTTTTTTTGATGTTCAAGAAAAATGGAGAACATTTTGGCTGCAAATAACTCAGCTCCTATCTCAGAACACACATTTTGCACAAATTTTTTTCTCCAGTGATAGAAGGTGGGAAAACTCACAGCTTATGAGATGTTGGGTTGTGGGACAAGTGCAGATATGAGAAATTCTAAACAACTGGGAATGTGCCAGAAACATATTTGAGAGCACAATGTCTATGCATTTTCACTTCCACATTCAGTGCATGAGACTTGATCAAATGTGATAATGCCTGAAAAAGAGCTTATCCTCCACAAGGGAAGGGATAATTATTAATGTTTTAACCTCTGGTTTATATCATCAAATCAGGTTTAGTAAGCTGTCTTCATTTGATAAATTAAAAAAGCAGAGGGAGTAAGGAAAAAAATAGGGCTACCATGGGGCTTTCTTATAATTGCCTTTGCTGCTAGTCAGAAGATGCAGAAATGAGGAACTGAGATATACAGAGGTTCCTGGATGATAAACAACAGGTAAACCACAAGACTAAGGCTAAGACTCAACAGACTTCTTCCTGTGAATATATATATATATACCTATACCTATACCTATACCTATATCTATATCTATATCTATCTATATCTATCTATCTATCTATCTATATATATATATCGTACTTTGATCTGATGAACTGACTGCAATCTCCAAATTGTTACATTTAATTCAGCAAACCCCAAACAAAGGAGTAGGTACTATAGAGTGTTGGCCATACAAAGCTTAGAACCCTTCATTGAAGCTCAATTCAAACTCTGAATCTAATAATAGTAGAAGGCTGGTAAAACAATAAGGACAATTAGAACAACAAAAATAGGAGTATGTTGGGTGGGGCAGGGGTGAGAGTAATTGTGACTGGTAGGGCTGGGAGTAGGCAACAGGCACACCTCAATTTTAGATCACAACAAGGTTGTCTTTAATAGAATAGAATAAAGTCTCATAGAAGGAGGAAAAGGCATCCTTCGTTCAGGGAGAGGCAATTGAGTAGTTTAAATATCAGGAGTGTCAGGTGTGGATGGGAAATAGTTGATAAGGGTAAAGCTAAATCATAAAGCATTTGTATGTTCATCTAGAGACTGTTTTTAAAAATAATATTTGGGTAACAGTGTGGTGACTGGATTGACTGAAACTATAGGTAGAGTAGACAGCCCGTGAAAGACTACCATACTACACTAAACAAGGGAGGGTTAAATCTAAACAACAGTCATTCCAAATCCTATGAGGTGAGTAATAGATATATTTAAAAAAATTAAGCATGTCAACATTGGTGTTCAAGGACAGAATAGGACAGAATAGCCAGGATGTCCAGAGAAACTAAGAAAAGCAGAATTTTTGAAATATAACAGTGAATTAGGCAGATATGATAATCAAGTCTTGGAATTGCGCTTACCATGAAGATAACAGCAGCCTTTCCTAGTATTTCTCTCATATACCTTCACCCTTCTCACTGCAAGGGCTTTTTGTCTCAAACTTTCAATTGACCAAACTTGCATTTTAATTTTTTTCCTGATGCCTCTCTCTGACTTCCAGAGCAATCTTGGCCAGCCTGCTCAGAATCTAGAATGTCTCATCACTTACCCAGGGATTGGTCTGCACTCCTGATGGACAGGAGCAAGGTATAAGTATCCCAATTTATTTCCCACTGGATGAGACAAGCTGCACCTAGGAGTTGCTGGCTGGCTTCAATTCCAGTTATTCCATGGTAACTTTTGGTTGCTTTCCCTTGGGAAGCCAAACTAAGACAAAGACCAGGCGAAAGAAAATCTTTAAATCAAAACAACAGCTACTGATATTAATCACCTATTTTCTATCCTACTTGGAGGGGTCCCACACCACCTAAGAATTGAATCAGTTTTCCATGAGCTGGAAAATTGTAAGTGTGATGAAAACCTGCTAAAAAACCAGAAAACCTGATAGATAAAAAGTTACATGGAAACTTGATTGTAATCTACCAGAATTTTATGGGATGTTTCTATCCATTATTTTAGCAGATGACAAATTCTAAGAGACACAGAATCCCCTAGTATTCATAACCCTATTTAGAATTCTCGATGACCAAATAGAAAATGACAGCAGATTAAAAATTTATGACCTCAATAGCTACTGCTTTTATTAATGACTTAGGTGCACTGGACCTAGGGAATTCAGACTCTCCTCTGAATTCTGGATTTATCCCTGTTATTTCAGTAGTTCTATATCTACCCCTGTTTATTTCTGTCCATACATGTGTGCTGTTGTCAACTACACCCTTGTTACTCAGAGCCTCAGAGTATGTTCCAGGAGCAGCATCATCACTGATCTGGATGTTTGGTAATATCCAGGATGTCACATCTCACTTACTGAATTAGAATCTGTGTTTTTAACAAGAGCCCCATGTATGTGATATGTATATGCTTTGAATTTGAAGATTAGGAAGATTACTGTGCACGGGATTTTTCTCTAGGGATAGGCATCTCAGGACAACATGACAAAATTTCCTACCATCACAGTAAGATGTGTTTGAAGCTTATATACTGGGGAGAATCCACATGGCAAGAACTAGAACAAGTCTCTGTTATGAAACATAGGAAATAACTTGCAAAGTAGAGAGGAGAAAATATACCACATAGACCCATCACCTACTAATCACTCACTTTTAGCATTTTAATTTAGTTGGTGTTAGCTGGTTTTAGTAACATAATTTTAAAATACAAAATTTTAGAATACACATTAAGTAATCTTATTTCTCTTACTGTTATGCACTGCATGAAAATTTCATCATTTCTCATAGTCATCATGTAAAATATTCAACTTGTTATATTCATTATAATTTATTAATTGTTTTTAAACATTTAAAATATTTTTGATGATCTTTTAAAGCATATACCTCTTCTGCAGTTAATGCAATTCTTAGGGTAATCCTTACAGGGCTGGTCTGAATAGGGAATTTGTTTCCTATAGCACTGTCAACACATTCTCTCCCGTAAACTTTCAGACTTAATGCTATGCTACCCTGCTTGTATCCTTGTACCCACATTCTATTTTCTCCTGTTAAAAGTCACCAGTACCTCCTCATGACAACTCTGGATCCATTTCCCCCACTCTGAGTCACTGTGCTTTCTTTTTACAATTCCATTTCAGTTCCTATCCCTGAGTCACCTTCCTGTCATTGAGTCGACTCAGAGTTCATGTTTTTCGTGCAGACTAACCAAACTGATATAAGACCTCTAGGCTGGTATCCAGTTTTAAATAAAGGACAGCATAACACTCCATTATTCTCCCCTGGACTTTACATGAAACAAAATTCCTTTTCAAATTGGACAAAAGCATTTCCATCTGTCAGCTTTAATTACTGATATAGTCAAAGAGGACAGGAAATCTCTTAAATTCCTTTGGAGTAGTATGTCTCATTAATTGTGTTCAAATAGGATGGGAACCCAAGTGAATGCGAAGTAGGAAAATTGGAAATTCTCACTGTGACCTATGCTAATTTTAAAATCAGATCAGAGCATAAGCTATTCATGGCTTTCGTACCCTGGTTCTCACTTAAGTGGCCAGAAGAACAAGCTGGGAGGATATTATGATCACAAACTCCATTCTGACCAGCAGAACTCACAACTTATCAGGTGAAAGATGGGTTTGGCAACTGTGCATTTAAAGCCCATACAAGCATTTTTGACACAGGATTGAATTTTGAGAAGCAATGATTTGGCATGACCGTGTATCACAGTGGGCAAATACAGCAAGTGGGAAATAAAAAGAGCAAATACATAAATTTCAGCACAGCAAAAATCTCCAATTTCTTAAAGTTTTCCATGATTTATAACACATAGAATAAGAAGAATTAACAAAAGCAGGGGCTATCACTAAAACTTGTTTGGTTACTTTTGGAACGTCATTACTGTGTAGACTGAACAGCAGTGACTTACATTTTCCTTCTTCATTTCTGCAGAGAACTTTCGTGTCATCTGTGCTTTGTATGACTTGAAGAGATTCACCAGGCTTTACCTGGAGATCTCTGGCTCCACACTTTTTAGAAGTTAAGGAGGGTGAAACTCTGGTTGAATAGAGGACTCTAATTTCACCATCATACTGGAAAAATAAAGAAAAACATTTTATATATTGACATCTACTATTACAATTGTAAATTCAACTGTTAGATTTTTGAAGAAAGTCTTTGCTAAATAAATAGTTACCTGTTTATAAAAGCTAACATAAGGGCATCAAGGAAAACTGCCTTGGAAAAAGTCATTCCTAAGCCCAAAATACAACATTTTTTTAAAAACTTTCACTTTTTAAAAAATTTAATTTGTGGTGATTTGATGTGTATTGCAAAATGATGACAGCAGGGTTAGATACAAAACCTATCACATAATTACCATTTACTTTGTGTGGGGAGAATATTTAAGGTTCACTCTTTTAGCAACTCTCAAGCAGATACTACAGCATGGCTACTTATAACCATCATGTCATATATAAAACTCCCATATTTATTCGTCCTAAAAATGAAGTTTCTCTCCACTTCCCCCATCCTGTCACTGGCTCTAGTAGCCACCTTTTATTCCAAAAGTTTGGCATTTTTAGAACCCACGTATAAGTGACATTATAATTCTTTCTGAATTATAATGGTCTCAGGGTCTAGGGACATTTTCATACTATATGTCACAATTTCCTTCTTTCTCAGAGCTAAATAGCATCTCATTGCATAAACAATATATACTGCATCATTATTCATTCTATTTTTGGATTATCTCCTTCCTAAGCATCAAAGGATGGCTTAAATTTAGGTAATTATCACAGGATGCATATTTTACACATATGAGAGCTTGCTTAATTTATTATAGAAATAACTTTAAAGCTAAAATAAATTTCCTCTAAAATATAAAATTGATATTGGCTAACTGAGACTGACAATTACATTTTTAAAATGTGCATTTGAGTACTTAACAGTTTTTGGATTTTTTCATCAGTTTTATGAACTTTGTTTAATATTTAACTATGACATACTTTAAATTTTTTCCTGAAGTCCTTTTCTTCTTTTTCCTGCTTTTTTAGCTTTTTAGGGTCTTTTTCTTCTGCCTTGGTCTTCATTCCATAACTAGGATAAAACACATAGCAAAAACACTTCATTTCAAAAATATCAAAAGAACACACATTAATTTTTTTTTTAAATTTATTTACGTGTGCATACAGAACTGGGTACAGGCCAGAGGCTCAGGGGCGGTGAGAGCTTCACCAGAGACAGAGTGGGGAGCAGAACAGGTAGATCTATGAAGTACACTGCTGAGGGGAGCAGCGGGCGAACCAGGAGAGGTCTGCCACACCATGTGGTCACCTCCGGGGCAGGCGGGGATCGAACTCTTGCCGAAGTGGCGTTAGCTTCTTAGTGCTGTGCTTTAACCCACTGCGCCACCACAGAGGGCCCATACATTAAATTTTTATTAAATATTTAAAAAATTATTTTCCTAACAAATCTAGTACATTTATTGCAATAAATGACAACATTTTATAATACAGAAGGGATTCTTCTACAGTATACAAATTATGAATTTAAATGAATTATTTATTATGTTGAGCCACATATAATCACTGAGGTATAGTTTAAACATGGCTTTATATCAACAGTTTCACATGACTCAACCTATTCTTGAACTCCCTATAATTTTCAGACCTTCCTAAATAACTAAGTGGCTTGGCCAATGTTACAGAAAAAAAACTTTAAAAAAATAAACATTTCAACCCACGGGGATTACAATTGAGATGGAAAAAAAAATGTACAAAATGATGGAAAAATAAACTATTATAATATTTAAAAAAAAAGTTCAGACCTCATCCCTTCAGTCTGGTACTTAAAGTCATCCCCCATGCAATGAATTTTAAATAAAATTGTTAAAAATGCTGAAAAAAAAAGAAAACAGTAACAACTAAAAAAAATAAATAAAAAATGAACATTTCATAAAAAATGGTTTAAAATTTTTATCTATATGTTTTGTCATATCAACATAAAATGGAACCAGATGGCAGGCAAGAAACTTTAAAAGTTAAGAATTCAGATCCGGGCCTTCCCTGGTGGCGCAACGGGTTAGGATGCAGCACTGCAAACTGGCCGCAGCCACCTCAGTGTGAGTTCAATCCCTGCCCCAGAGGTGACCCACATGGTGCCACAGACCTCTCTTGACCGGCCCACTGCTCCCATCTGCAGTCTACTTTGTCCATCAGCCTGTTCTGCTCCCCATTCTGTCTCTCGTAAATCCTCCCATTGCCCCAGCACCACCTCTGGCTTGCACCCCAGTTCTGTATGAATAAATAAATCTTTTTTTTTTTTTT